AATATTTACCTATCTATCTATCACGGTACAGTTTATGTTAAGCAGCTTCTCTCTTTGTATTCACACACACACACACACACACACACACACACACACACACACACACACACACACACACACACACACACACACACACACACACACACACACACACACACACAGAAAGAGAGAGAGAGAGAGAGAGAGAGAGAGAGAGAGAGAGAGAGAGAGAGAGAGAGAGAGAGAGAGAGAGAGAGAGAGAGAGAAAGAGAGAGAGAGATGGGGGGGGGGGCGTAGAGAGATAGAGAAAGTAAAAGACTGTAAGAGAAACAAACAAATAAGTGTCAGAGTAAGGGAGAGTGGGAAATAGTAGATGAGTAGATACAGCGAACGAATAAAGAGAATGAGATAGAAATATACAAAAAGAGAGAGCGAGAAATAACCGAAAAGGCAATGATATAGAAAAAGAGAAACAAATCAACTAAGACGAGTAAACAAATAAAAATCATGAACATTGAGCAATATTAGCAATGAAATGTCTCTGTGAATATATAAAGCATTAAGCAGCTGATATACACGCGTCTGTGCTTCCACATTCTCTAAGATGGAAAGAGGCTTTGGGATTAAACGCTTGTCTATAATAATAATAATCATAGCATTAATTTATGATAAATGAACAGTGAAAACACACGCAAACAAGACATGTATAGATTGAGAGAGAGAGAGAAATTATATATCTTTATCTGACCCATTCTATAAGCAACAGGAAGCAGCCACTTCGCGCCTTCCACTCCTGAGCCTGGTTTACCTAAAGACCTCCTAGGTGACCTATATGCCCCCCTCGAGCAAGCCCAGCGACTCACCCCCCTTGTCACGGCCTGATAAATCTGACATTCCAGCCTGTGGAAGCAAGCGCCGCCCAGGAAGGAGCCGCTGAATAGAAGGGGGACATTCTCCATACCTCGGCAGAAGGAGCCCAGCTTGCATCCACTCACCTTGTAGTGAAAAAGCCGAAAGCCACTTTCATTATCCGCCTTAAGTCCATCTCTCACACATTCACTCGTAAGCGAAAAAAGAATCCCTCGCTTGCTTACTTGCTGATTCTACTCTTTAATACTGCTACTAATGCCTTCTGTTAAAAAAAAATGCGATTGAGTAAATATTTCTCTTGATTGGTGACTAACATTAAAGGAATACAAGAGGTTATATGAGCATTAGCAAGTCCTGTTTGTGCATCTTTTATGCCTCCTTTTTATGACAGTATTTCATGTCAAGAAGAAGTGAGTATTTTTTGTTTTGTTTTATACAGTAGAATGTTCATCGGGTGGGGATAATATTTTGTACATACTCGTATACATATATTCTCATTCCTATTCCTATTTAGTTATTCCACTCCATAGCATCAGGGCAAGAGGAGCACAGTAAAGTTAGATAGTCTCTGATAGCAGAGAACAGGGGTAGAAGAAAGACTGAAAGTATAAACTGATAAATAATATCGAATGCACTGGTATTAACGCTAACACTAAGCAAGCTGCAGTCATAAAACATCTCAGCAGTGCCGGATAACCAGTGCTTTTGATCATTAGCTCTAAAACGTGTCCTTTCACACCGTGGTTTTTCATTCACTCTCCACCTGGGGTACACATCGACGTAGAGCACCACCACAAAATTACATTCTCATCAGGAATAGGTTCGTGAGGATTCCTTACAGTACCAGGGACGTCAGTGAATACGAGGTCGTGAGGGTTTGCATGAATATGAGTGGGAGAATCCAACACTAATAATAATAATAATAATAATAATAATAATAATAATAATAATAATAATAATAATAATAATAATAATAATAATAATAATAATAATAATAATAATAATAATAATAATAATAATAATAATAATAATAATAATAATAATAATAATAATAATAATAATAATAATAATAATAATAATAATAATAATAATAATAATAATAATAATAATAATAATAATAATAATAATAATAATAATAATAATAATAATAATAATAATAATAATAATAATAATAATAATAATAATAATAATAATAATAATAATAATAATAATAATAATAATAATAATAATAATAATAATAATAATAATAATAATAATAATAATAATAATAATAATAATAATAATAATAATAATAATAATAATAATAATAATAATAATAATAATAATAATAATAATAATAATAATAATAATAATAATAATAATAATAATAATAATAATAATAATAATAATAATAATAATAATAATAATAATAATAATAATAATAATAATAATAATAATAATAATAATAATAATAATAATAATAATAATAATAATAATAATAATAATAATAATAATAATAATAATAATAATAATAATAATAATAATAATAATAATAATAATAATAATAATAATAATAATAATAATAATAATAATAATAATAATAATAATAATAATAATAATAATAATAATAATAATAATAATAATAATAATAATAATAATAATAATAATAATAATAATAATAATAATAATAATAATAATAATAATAATAATAATAATAATAATAATAATAATAATAATAATAATAATAATAATAATAATAATAATAATAATAATAATAATAATAATAATAATAATAATAATAATAATAATAATAATAATAATAATAATAATAATAATAATAATAATAATAATAATAATAATAATAATAATAATAATAATAATAATAATAATAATAATAATAATAATAATAATAATAATAATAATAATAATAATAATAATAATAATAATAATAATAATAATAATAATAATAATAATAATAATAATAATAATAATAATAATAATAATAATAATAATAATAATAATAATAATAATAATAATAATAATAATAATAATAATAATAATAATAATAATAATAATAATAATAATAATAATAATAATAATAATAATAATAATAATAATAATAATAATAATAATAATAATAATAATAATAATAATAATAATAATAATAATAATAATAATAATAATAATAATAATAATAATAATAATAATAATAATAATAATAATAATAATAATAATAATAATAATAATAATAATAATAATAATAATAATAATAATAATAATAATAATAATAATAATAATAATAATAATAATAATAATAATAATAATAATAATAATAATAATAATAATAATAATAATAATAATAATAATAATAATAATAATAATAATAATAATAATAATAATAATAATAATAATAATAATAATAATAATAATAATAATAATAATAATAATAATAATAATAATAATAATAATAATAATAATAATAATAATAATAATAATAATAATAATAATAATAATAATAATAATAATAATAATAATAATAATAATAATAATAATAATAATAATAATAATAATAATAATAATAATAATAATAATAATAATAATAATAATAATAATAATAATAATAATAATAATAATAATAATAATAATAATAATAATAATAATAATAATAATAATAATAATAATAATAATAATAATAATAATAATAATAATAATAATAATAATAATAATAATAATAATAATAATAATAATAATAATAATAATAATAATAATAATGCAAACATAATAATAATAATAATAAAAATTGTGATCAGGGTGATAACAACACAATGGAATTATGAATTTTGTCTCTCTCAGACCACATAAACAGGTAACCACGCATAGATAACACAAGATAGTATTCAAAAGCCTTTAGTATTAGGTATTGTTACTCCAGGATTACGATAAAAGAGATACGAGCACACTGACTGAACAGACCGCAGACAAGTTGACAGACAAGCTACTGACATATCCGTGTCACTGAGAGTAAATTTCAACGGTGATGTGTAGGCTTTGTTTTTAGTGATGAATGCAGGGGTTGAAACTAAGTATGCTGTTGGTAATGGTGAGTGAAGATGATGATATTAATGATTTTGGAAGTGACTGTTGGTGGTGATGATGGAGATTGTGATATTGGAGGAAATTAAGGTAACTGATATAACAACATAGCGGTTGATTAGTTACTGACAAAGGAGAAGAAAGTCGAACCTTCTTGTTTACTATTTGAAAACCACTTTTTTATGTTATCATTGTTGTTATATAATATTGTCGAATGTATATGCAAATTCAGATTTCTATATACTTCTATATCGCTATATGCATAAGACATTTGCACTCAAGCATGCGTTGACTAAATTCTGTAACAAGTGAGTGTTGTCATTCCTCAAGACCAGGGGTTCCCAACCTGGGGGCCTCGGGTACGTTATGGGGGGCCATGGGGCAATATGGAAATTTTGACGTCGAATTAAATTGAATTGCATCTCACCTACAGTACCTGCATATAATTATCTTTCACAAATCAATAAACTGGATTTTTTCCATAAAGTGATTTTGTCCTATAACTATTGACACTATTACATTATTCATGACTAGTAATAACTGAATCTGAAAAGATGATCAACATTGAACGGTGCCATGGAGATTATTATATACTGGTCTTGGACCACAGAATAGGAAAAGTTGGGAACCATTACTCAAGACCAAGAACTTTCCTTGTCTCATATATATATCACAAATTTGCAATGGTACGTTCTAATACTTCAGTACTATTTATGCTATCATTATATCCTACTGTTACTGTCGTCTTCGTCAGCCATTTTTTACTCTGCATTCTTGTTTTAAGAGATATATAACGTGATTGCGATCTCCAAAGGCTAGTCTTGTTATTCTATGACAAATTCACTTCAACATCGTTAAGATGTTGCAATTCTATATCTCACTTATATATGCAATACACTCTTTTCATGGCACGCGCTTATTCTCCATACTCATAGATGTCACGCCTCACTATGTTATGATTTCATTTCCTGTTATGATTTTCCGTGCCGACCGTGTTTCGTTGTTTTTTTTTATAAACTTGCCACCTCTGATTCTGTCTCGGCCCCAGACGGAGGGTAAGCACTATAAGAAGAGCAACCAATAACACAAGTGGTCTTCCATACTTTCTGAGCCACATAAGTATAGTTTTATTGGTGTTGAATTTGGTATGCCTATATATTTAGTAATGTATAGGTACGTATACGCATATATATTGGATTATAGACGTAAGCAGTACAAGAAGTGGTCTTTATTATTATTATTATTATTATTTTTTACATTTCCAAGCGCTACAATTTATGTTTATGGACACCAATGTCAGCAGATTATTTTCCTTTTTAGAAATTCCTGCCAGATAAGGTTTTCACTAAGACAACATGCCATCCAGGAACCTGCGAGATACCAAGGTTCCATCTCATACCGCTCAGTACCTCGCTACTTTGGCCGGTAAGTTACTTGAGTGTTCCATTTTACTGTTGGTCGAAATGCGAAAATTACAGTTTCCACTAATGAAACCTATAATTACAGTAACAGGTGGTATGGCAGGCAGGCACAGTCTGTTTTGTCTTAGAATATGCTTTCACTCTTATTTTCTCTCCCTTCTCTCTCAGTTCAACATAAAAAGATGATATATTTTACAAAGTACACATGTGAATAATATTTATTGTATGAGAAAGAAATAAAAGTAAACCAGAAATTCGTGACTAGGCCCTCTCCCCCCCTCAGTGTGCACCGGAGCCCTAGGCATGGGCGCGACTCTCGGCTACAGCTCGCCGGCAGGACCTCGCATGATGGCCAATTCAACTTCAGATGACCTGACCGTTACACTGAGTCAGTTCAACTGGGTGTCATCGAGTCCTTCACTGGGCGGCGCGGCGGGCGGGCTGATAGCGGGCGCGGGCGTAGACTGCGTCGGTAGGAAGGGCGCCATCTTGGTCTTCTCGCCCGTGTTCCTTTTTGGGTGGCTCATGATCGGTGAGGATTGAAGTCGTCACATGCAATTTACATATTCTTGTATATATTACACTATATTTTAAACCACATTACTTATATTTCATAAATCACTCCTTGTAATATATATATTTCCCTGTAAATAATGTCTTGTATTATATATCATATTACGTCTGCAATATCATATCATATATATAATCCCTTTATTGCACTTGCCGAATGGGGACATATTGCCATCTGCCGTGTTTTATTCACACATTCCTCTATTTCTTCCTTTGTTTATACACTAATTGTGAGGGCTTGTCACCGGAATTAAAGTTACTAATGAGTTCAGGAGAAAATTTATATATCAGTAGCTTACACACATGCATGCGACGAGGACAAATCTGTGTATGAGTGTGTGCGTGTCTGCGTGCGCGTGCATGTGTGTGTGTGTGTGTGTGTGTGTGTGTGTGTGTGTGTGTGTGTGTGTGTGTGTGTGTGTGTGTGTGTCGAATCAGTTAACTACCCTATCTCTGCACACTGCCCTCCCATCCCAGCCCTGGCGCGAGACGTGGCCATGCTCCTGGTGGGACGGCTCGCCTGCGGGCTGGCCGTGGGCGCCGTGAGCATCGCCGTCCCTACCTTCGTCGCCGAAATCGCGTCGCCGGATATCCGCGGTCTGCTCGGTGAGTTGCCGACGCCAGCGGGAGGGTTAACTTAAGCAGAGAATGGCAGAGGGATGAGAGTATAAGATTAACATTTCCCCCTTGATATTCGTTTTAGAATTAGCATCTATCACCGCACGTAAAAAATAACAAAAAACAACAAAAACATTCATAAAAACTTACAAATCCAAAGGATACGAAGATAGAACAAGAGATCCGAAACTCCATTAAATTAAGCCCCGATATAACGACATCATCTTTTGCATTATCGTCACGCATCTCACCACAGAACCCAACCTAAAACCTATCTTAACAACACAATGCCACGGAAAAAAAAGGCAGTGTTTTCCAGGTGATGGTCACTACAGGCATCCTCTCCGTTTACGTTCTTGGGGCCGTGATACCTTCGTGGAGGATTCTAGCCGGCGTGTTTGCAGTACTTCCTGTTTTGACTTTCGTCTCCGTCTTTTTCCTGAAGGAGTCTCCTCTTTATCTCATCTCCAAAGGGAAGGAAGACAAGGCAGCAGCGTCTTTAAAGTTTTACAGAGGTATTGTTATTGTTGTCTTTATTATTATTACAGAAATCCTATGGTAACACAGAATTTGTACGTATTTATAAATGTTACGATAATGATTAGACACTGCTACGGATTTCAGAAAATAAGTTGTACTTCAGGATTTATATTTGTACTATAATCTGATTTGCTAGAAACTTTGAAATAGAATTTGCCACTTATACGATTACCAAAAAATATATATTCCCTCATGTACAATAAACAATGCAGTTTGTCAAAATACTTATCATTGTTGCTCTCATTTCCTGTCATCTCTACAAAACCAACCGGCATTACCAATATTACTGGGATTACCACCCACTATCATAATGCAACCACCATTCATCATTGTTACTGTCACTATTGACATCATCTTCACTCTCAGAATCATTCAGATTACCATCATCATCTATCCTTACGTATCATCTTCGGACTCTTTCCAACAGGCAAGCACTACGCCGTAGCGGACGAACTTCAGGTCCTGAAAGATTCCCTTGAGGAGTCACGCCAGAGGAAAGCGTCAGCGAAGGATCTCCTGAAATCCCACAACCTGAAGCCTTTCCTCATTACTCTCGGCGTTTTCCTCCTTACTCAGTTCTCCGGGATTACCGCCATCTTGTCGTACATGTCTTCTATATTTCAGGTTTGTGTTCAGGTGTTGCGTTCCGGTTTGTGTTGAGAAGCATCGATGTAGTTTATTTTGGTGATGATACTGTAAGGTACTGTTGTTATACTATGCAACAGGAATATATTATATTGTCTCATTATTCAACTCCCATGCACATCTCCCTATCAGTTTTCAGCATTAGCGAACCATCTTAAGTATAAAATACAAGGCGCATTTTTATCAGCAAGACATTATTTCTTGAAAAATCTTGATGTGATGATAATATTAAAGACATAGTAATAGTATTAACAATGATAAAAATAATAATAGCAATGACGGAAATGGAGCATTTGTAATAATAATGCCGAAGATAATGACAATGACAATAAGAACGGTAACGTGTGTAACAAATACTGGATTTGTAATAATGACAATGGTAATAATAGTACTAATAATAGACAACAGTAACAATAATGGCAACAGTTCCTATTTTCCTCGACGTTTATTGTGTCAATTCTATTTCAACAGTGTAATGGATGTAATTTAAAAATCGTTGAAGTTTGTCCGTCCCGTTGGAAGTTACTGAATGCAGTTTTCGCAAGATATTTAAAATCCAGTCTTCCATCTCGGGTTTTGACCCTCTGTCCCAGATTCTTCAAACTTTTTTCATCAAGACCCCGTTTGATTTTGTACACTTCCGTAGCGACAATATATATATATATATATATATATATATATATATATATATATATATATATATATATATATATATATATATATATATATATATACGCACGCACGCACACATATAATTCCTACATACACACACACTCACACACACACACACACACACACACACACACACACACACATATATATGTATATAAACGTAAATACGTATATATATATATATATATATATATATATATATATATATATATATATATATATATATATATGTATAAACATATGTAAGGTCATATAATAATGATGATAATAACAATAATCATTATTTTTATTAATGCTAATACAATTATTATCATAAACATGAGCTTTTGACCCGTACTGTGAATAACCCTGCTGGGTAATATTATAAACTCCGCCCCATCTACTTCACATAAGCATATTTTTTCCACGTTGCCCTTCTGGCTTTTACACAGGAATCCGGAAGCAATCTCTCCAATGGTGTAAGCTCCTCGATCATCGCTGCAGTGATGGTTGCAATGTCGGTGATTTCTAGCGCTCTCGTGGACAAAGCCGGCAGAAAAGCGCTACTTGTTATTTCGGCAGCGACTATGGCGATCGCTTTCAGTAAGTTGGAAGTTGTTGTTTATGGATCAGCTGTTTCTGTATGATGATAGATTTGGGTTGATGAAGATAATGATGGTTTTGACAGAGCTGATGAATATTTGATGAAGATAATGATGGTTTTGGCAGAGCTGATGAATGCTTGATGAAGATAATAATGGTTTTGTTAAAGGTGATGAAAGTTTGATGAAGATAATGATGGTTTTGATAATGGTAATGGATGTTTAATGAATACAACGATGGTTTTGTTAAAAGATAATGATAATGGTGATGATGATAATGTACAAGGATGAACAATGAAATTTATTACAGTAGATAATGAAATTGAAATGAATAATGAGGATGAAGGTGATAATAATGATAATAATGATGGTATTCATAATAATAATATATGTGACGATAGTAATGATGATGCTAATGATAATAATAGCAGTAACTTTAGTAATGATGATAATGCTGATAACAACACCAGTAACGATAATAAGGATGATGACGCGATTTTATTATAACAACAATAATTACGCTACAGATATCTTGGCCCAATACTTTGCGGGCAAAGAGAGCCATCGCGCTTGGATCGACGGCGCGGCGTGGGTCCCTCTCGCCTGCCTCGTTCTCTTCGTGTCAGCTTTCAGTGTCGGATTTGGACCTATTCCTTGGCTCCTGCTGGGTGAGAGGGAAGGGGGAGGGGAGGGGAGAGAAGGAAAGAGGGTGAAAGAGAGAAGGAGAAAGAAATGGGGAAGGGGAAATGGTGCAAGGAAGGTAAGGAGGGAGGGTAGGTGGGGGGAGAGAAGGTGAAGGAGAGGGAGAGGAGAGGAAGAGGAAAGGGGGAGGGAGGGTGGAAGGGAAGCACGAACGGAGGGGAAGATAGAGATTGAGAGAGAGAGGGGAAGCGGGATAGAAGGAGAGAGAGAGAGAGAGAGAGAGAGAGAGAGAGAGAGAGAAGAAAGAGAGAGAGAGAGAGAGAGAGAGAGAGAGAGAGAGAGAGAGAGAGAGAGAGAGAGAGAGAGAGAGAGAGGGAGAGAGAGAGATAT